GTATGGCTGTATTGTCTTTGTAAAGTTATTTAACATTTAAAAAAAGTACGGAAATAAATGAATGATTGAAAATCATGCCATGACCTCTGGCTAGGCATGACTTGGCATTTTAAGCAACGTATATGAACGGGTGTTGTGTAATCTACATTGTATATAAATATCGTTATATACAACGTATATAACGACATATTATGTCATGGGGACGATAATTACTTCACATAACTTGAACCACCTCCACAGGAGTCACCTTCAGACTAAAAGCATGCCTAAATATCACGATCACTACTCCTTTTTATAAATCAACTAAAGTCCCGCCCCGGCTTCGCACGGGTGGTAATTGTAATTTTTAATGTATTTTTTGCCATGGTATGTTGTATAAAGATTATTCATTAATTTCATCTATCTTGTGAGGATTAGCCAGCGTTTGCAATGTAAGCGCGCATAAATTTTCCTTACGAAATCACTTAACAAATCTTCGAATTTCTTGGCTTGTCTCTAATATAATATTATGCAGGTATACTACATATAAACCTTCCTCTTGAATGACTCTATCTTTTGTTGAAAACTGCATTATAAGCGTACAAACAGCGTGGGCCACTTTGTTTTGTACTACGTAAAGATATGTAAAAAAAGTAAAATAACAGCCTATAAATGTTCCACATCTGGACAAAGGCCTCCTCTGTAAAGAGTGCATCAGGGCAGTCCACCACGCGACCCCACTGCGGATTGGCGGACTTCACAAATTTTCGAAATATTTTATTTTATTATTTCGAGAATATGCAGTTTCCTCAAGATAGTTTTCCTTCACCGCCGAAAGATATGTAATAAGTTCTAAAACGAATGCATTATTAAACACATTTGTTCAACGTCAACGAGTGAGATTTGTTATCTGTTAATTTAATTCGTGCACTTACTCGCACGCTAACATCATGTCTGCAATGTACCGATGCAATGTTACAAGCTTCAGAGTTAAAGTTACGACGCATGGGGATCTCGGGACGGTCATATCTCGTCGGCGGCGAATTACAGCAACAGCAAAAACGAACTTAACGTTCAACTAATGTGCTAGACAGAGACAGCAATATCCCTTTTAATCAAGCTTATTTTTCCCCCCAAATATGGCTATATTGTTACGTAAGTAACTTTGCCAGTAACTAAGACATGTAGGACCGCGGTAATTTCAGAATAACATAACGAAGGGCATCAGATTAATGATTTATTTCCTAATGCATATTTACTACAAGTTAAACTAGTAAATAAACAAACAAAACATAAATTAACAACACACCATGTTCCTAAGACACAAAATTAAACATTAACTAAAAAAAACAGATTAAAGACGTATACTGAAGGTTCTACCGTAAATCTGTATACCCACCTTGTAGTCTCGGGCGCATAGAGCAGGGCTAAGGTATCCCCTGCCTGTCGTAAAAGGCGAGTGAAAGGGAGGTTCATAGATGCAGCCAGACGAAGCGGTATTCTGCTAAAGATAATTTAAAAAAAAAACATCTGTATACACTTATCAAAGATTTTAAATAAACGGAAAACGCGAAAAGTTAATATTCTTTTGACGTTTAGTCGGCGCGCAAAAAGGAGGGAATGGCAATTATTATTATATATTCATTATTAAACACCAAAAAACATAAAAGGAAATGTTACAGAACTATAAACTTAAGAGGTATAAACAATAAGGCGGTCTTATCGCTAAGGACTGATCTCTTCCGGACAACCTTGTGGTTAGAAATATTTTAATTTGGACAACGGTAATGTAAATGTAAATGATAAACTTACATACTAACATTTAAATAAACTAAACGAATATGTCAATCATATAAAGAGACTGATAAATAAGTGATAATACTAAGAAAACTTTTTTTAATGTGAAAATTTGGCAAGCGGTCAGGCGGTTCACCTGATGTTAAGCGAATACCGTCGCCCATGGGCATCTACAGCACCCGAGGGGCTGCAAATGTGTTGCCAACCATTTATAAAGCGGGCCCCGGATACCTCATTCACCAGACGAAAGAAATCACAGCACTTCCGCTTCACGCCGGTCTTTTGCGAGGCCGTGGTAATTACCGGACAAGCCTGCCCTTCGTGCAACAGCGGTAGCTGCTGCGTGGCCCTGCCACAGCAAAGTGATAATATAAATGCCACAGAAAGAGTGCAGTTATTCATACGTTTGCCTTTCGTCTGGTTACGAGGGGCCCACACTTCTAGAAGGTAAGGACAATCAACCACGGGAAAAGGGCACAATTAGCAATTGTAATAGTTCATCATGCAGTAACAATATTAGTTTTTGTTCTACTTTTTCTTCTAACTTCGTCCCAAAACAATTCAATTTCCAGTTTAAAAACTTAGTTTTATTTTAATATCTTTGAGGACAGTACCTTGTTAGATTCAAATACATTATTATAATTTTCTCTTTATAATAATAATTTCAATTCAATTAATTGGTTTCTTGTATTTTACGCGAATTTTATCAATTTAAATGTAACTATTTAACGGATTTTATCGCGTTTTAATTTGATTTTAAATTCCCTACATTCCGAACCCTTTCCAGCGTGGTCACGGGATAGATTCTGTCCCAGGGTTTCATTGAGACAATTAAATTTGTTAATTTATTGCTCATAATTAGTAAAAATCACTAGAATTATGGTTCCGTATCCCTTTGCAACATTGTTATAGAAAGATAGAAATGCATTCATAACAATATCTAGTTTAGTTCTGTAATTATTGCACTAATGTTAATAGTATTTCTAGGAATGAGGTGGCATGCGTGTTACGCAATTAAGTTCACCCGATGTTAAGTGACTGCCGTCTCCCATGAACGTCAACACACCCGCGGGGTTCCAGATGCGTTTCCAACCTAGCGGACCGACTACCTCAATCACCAGACGAAACGCAAAACTAAATTCCATTCGCATTGCTCTTCCGTAACTTTTCAAGAGCCTATCTATTTATGCAACAGCAGAAACTCTTGCATGACATGGCCCTAAGCCATACTTATCGTATATCAAACGGTGCAATAGGAACTCCAAGGCTTAAAATCTATCGCGTTGTAAAAGCTCGGGAGAAAGATGGAGAGATTTTTAAAAAAGAAGGTGACGAACGCGCAGATATTCACTTGATGTTAAGTATTTAAAGTTATTTGTAAAGTTTAAAATTTAAACAAAACAATATAAAAGTAAATGAAATCTATAAAATAATTTTCGACTCTTGATCTAAAAAAGCGCCACCTAGGAACAAATGCTGAACATAGTAATTCATATAATACATAGTTTTTATTGACTGTATTGTGAGGTGGCGCTTAATTAAACTGTCTATTAAGACTACTTATTTTTATAATATAATAGTTGACCCGGCAAACGTTGTTTTGCCATATAAATTATTTTTAGGGAATTTATGAATCTGAACGCATAGAAAAAGAATTTTCGGAACGCACGCATAAAATGTTTGACAGGTACAATTGTTGCTATTTCGATTTTCTATGCAATTCTTCCATAATTTCTCATCGTTTAAACCTTCCCTGGACTGCCACAAATATTTAAAAACTGAAATTAGCCAAATCGGTCCAACCGTTCTCGAGTTTTAGCGAGACTAACGAACAGCAATCCATTTATATAGGTATATATAGATTTTAGTTTAATAAGATACTTAATAATAACAAACGTAATTTTATTTTGGAATTGTCCTTATTTCTGATATGAAAGAAAAATAAATAAAAACTTAAATTTTCGCATGTATTATGGGTGAATATTATAAGGTAATTTATTAAATACTGAAACTATATTTGAAAATAATTAAGCAATTTAGCCCTCTCACTATATCCAGCTTCTATCCTCAAATGTCCTGTTGGAAGCTTCTTAAATAGGTCTTTAGGAAGAGAAACTGGTGGCGGTTCAAACTTCTTCACTGCCGGTTTTGGATATTTCATTAAAAATAAATTAATTTCCATTGTAGATGGAGTCGTTCTGAATATTGCTTTGCAATATTTTGCAATATTCCCACCGTTTGCTAAATAATTCATTTTCAAATTCAATTTCAAGTGCAAAGAGAATGTAATCACTGCGTTTACGTGTGTACGTTAATTCTGTAATAGATGCCAATAATGTTTTTTAATTTTTAATAAATGTGGACCTAAAAATTTCAAAGAAGTTTAAATAGGATGCAAGAATTATATTTAGTATTCATCATTAGTATAATTATATTTAGCATTGTTGAAAAATAATCTTATCAAAAATAAGAATAAAATTGTAAGTATAGATGGAATTTAATTGCAAAATTCGTCTCTAAACATCAGAAAAATAGTAACATTTGTCATTGTACTAAAAAAACTGATTTAGGGATGGGCAAGTAAAAGAAATATATCGATATACACCGTATCGTCATTTTAAAAAGTATCGATAACTATCGAGGGAAAAATATCGATATATCGTCATTTTTCGCATGATTTTTTATACGTATTTTCAAAGCATTCGAAATTCGTAAAATTGAATAAACATGAACAAAATAGTTGAGTATTTAACGATGCGTAAGGAGTATCTATTATCATTAAAGATGAAACCAGTGTTGCGTTAAAATATATCGAAATTGACACGAATTCGATAGTCTAAAAAATATCGAATATCGCGATAAAAAATATCGATGATATGTATCAATAATTGTATTAAAAAATATTCTTATATATCGATTTTTTTGCCTATGCCCATGCCTAGCCTGATTGACTCTGTCTGGAATCTGGGCAAGTGGGCCTGGGCATAGATAATACATAAATACGAAACGTTTGACACAATGAAATTATGGAACTGTCTGATAATCTGTTCAACAGAACTGATTACTGGACTTTTCGCTTGTTTTGTGATCGGTGTTCTGTTACATTAATGTCTAATGTTGAACGGGAGTAAATTTAAAAATATTCAAATAATGATGATTCAATAGTGCTTACCTTCATTAATTTATTTACTTGAACGAATTGTGTACAATAATATTGTGTCATCATGTCGTTTACGTTTGGAACTCCTTCGAGCGCTCCCGCTAATACATCGCTTTCAGGAGGCTTTAATTTTGGCGCAAACAAGTGAGTATGACATTTTGCTTGTTAACTTTTTACACAAAGCAAACCATAAATTTGAACTATCAATTTTGAGCGTTTTTTAACGTTTGAAGACTGACAGTTTCATAGTATAACCTTAAATAGTTTCAAAAAATATTCAATTTCAGACCAGCTACGCCTGGTTTCGGGTTAGCGGCTACATCTCAGCCCTCATCTGGACTCTTTGGGAATACCTCTTCCACTCCTGCTTTTGGTTCGACCACGCCAGCGTTCGGTCTTGGCTCAACGCCTGCATTCGGGGCAAGCCCTGCCGCGCCTGCATTCGGGGCAAGCCCTGCCGCGCCTGCATTCGGTACTACGTCCACCGCGCCCGCGTTTGGTGCTACTTCTACCGCGCCAGCGTTCGGAGCCACAGGAGCACCTGCGTTTGGCTCCAGTTCGACCGCGCCTACGTTTGGTTCGACAAGCACACCTGCTTTCGGTGCAACATCCACGGCACCAGCTTTTGGGTCCACTGCCACCCCAGCATTCGGCTCGACGTCCACTGCACCCACTTTTGGCTCTACAACAGCGTTCGGAGCTAGTACAGCTGCACCAGCTTTTGGATCGACTACAACCCCAGCATTTGGTATGATTTTCCCACTTTGATAACTGTCATAGGTAAATAATCTCTTGCGCCATCTGTGCATTAATCTTATTGTGACAATATATATACATTCATCTGTGAAGGTTCCTGGCCAAAATAATGATTGTCTTTGTATGATTGTATTCTATGCACAAAGAAAAAACTAGTCAACCCTATGTTCCAAGTTAAACTACCTCACAGGATTCCTTAAAATAAAAAAAAATATTCTTCATAATTAAAGAATTCTTTCTTAAGAAAAATTAGCTTTTGTATGTTTGTTGTGTTAACAATGGATTGACTTGATATTTGTTCACAACATAACTATTGTGTTTTTAAATATGTAATTCCTTATAATTCTAAGTGCCAATGGAAATGAAAAAATAAGAAACAAATGTTACAATATAAGTAGTTTTAATGCAAGCAGTTATAAACCAAATTTTGTTACTTTAGGTACTTCAGGCACCACAGGTTTTGGTACAACATCTACACCTTCCTTTGGATCCACAGGTCTTGGGACAAGTTTTGGAGGTACAACATCGACTACTGCTTCAACTGGTAAAAAAATTCTATTTTATTTTGCTATGCATGACTGCACATTTGCTTTTTTGATTTTTTTATTTATCACAATTAATTCTTTTTTATTATTTTTATTTTGATTATAACAATGTTTGTCATAATACTCTCTTTGATGATAATATTAAATAAACCATTTGATATTGCCAGGTCTTAATTTTGGAGCACCAGCTACTACAAAGGCAACGCTTGGTGGTCTCGGGGGTTTCGGTTTCGGTTTCGGTACCACTACTGCCGCCCAAACAAGTTTCGGCTTTGGGGCAACAAGCACTGCCACAACAACCTCTAGTTCCTTTGGTAATTAGACATGTTTATTTTAAAAATATCTTTCCATAACCTTATGCTAATATAGTATACCGTATGCCACAAGTGTACAAAAATAACCATATTAGAACATGTGCAACTTCATATACAGTGTGTCACTACAATCGCGACAATAAATGAACACACGTATAACGCTACGTGCGTACGTAAATATTAACGTTACAAAAAATCCCTAATTAAAAAAAATATTTTTCAAACAAACTAATTAATTAAAAAAAAATTGTAACATCCTATACTACGACTACAACTGACTGATTCATACATTCAGAGACTTTTTCATTTGTTGCCAAAGCGTCGCATTACATGCCTCTCCTTCCAACAGCATGTTTTGTCTCTTTTAAATTCATTCAACCCATTCATACTCTTTGTGATTTACAAATAAAATTTACGTTAGAGTTTTATGCGTAAGGATGTTCTAAAATTATTTGTTTTGGAAAATTTAATAACTCGGTAAATATTGATGTTTAAAGAATATAACTGTTTAATACAATTTTAAAAACTTATCCTCTATATTTGTGTTCATTTATTGTCGCGATTGTAAAGACACACTGTATAATGAATTGACATACAATTAGGTGAAGGAATGCATCATGAGATACCTGCTATTTTCAAATTAATAATAAAAGGATATCAAAATATGTGAAGTCTGTATCATATATGTAAATATGAACAATCCATGATGGGGTTGCTATGTCCTAATAATACTCTCTATACACGGGTGGCCTTTTTTTTTTATCCCAAGTTGGATTTAAAACAATGAAATCTTAATAAACATAATCATCAAGTTTCTATCTTCTTATGTGACAATCAGAGAAATATGTAGTATATTAAGTGCTTAAAAGATAATTTTTTGATTGTCTTAATAAACCCTTCTCGAACACAAAATGCAACAATTAAATGAAGTAATTTTTATGTAATTACAATAGGAGAACATGACGTGTTAATTATATAATATATGTATACACTAGCAGACCGGACAGATGTTGTCCTGTACATACAATTTAAATCCGACAACAAGTTACAAAAAAATTTAGTGGACCGAATAGCGAATCTAAACCATTCTCGAATCAATCTGAAGACACACAAAATTTCATTAAAAAAGGTCCAACGTTTAGGAGGAGTTCAGTGACATACACATACAGAAGAATTATATATTTGAAGATATGTTTTATTTTTATCAATTAAAAGAGGCTACCTGCTTATCCAATTATAAACTGATGTTGGAATTAGAATGGCTAGTTTGGTTTTTGTTTTTCAATAAGTTTAATCCTCATATAAAACTTTTTTCATGACAAGTTCTAATTGTTATTACAGTGTGATCATGTTTCCACATGCAAACCCACCAACTTTTGTTCCTATTACACAAACATTTCAAATAATTCCTCCAATGTCGTTAGAAGCTCGTAAACAGCCATTTTATTCCCTGAGTCCTACAGAAGAAACTAGTCAAAAACAAGGTTATGTTCTAAAAAGTGCAAGAAGGGACAACTATAACATATTGAGCCCATCTAGGGGTGAGATTAATTTTTTTATAAATTCTCATTGCGTGGGAATGTTTTAGTTGTCATAATCATTTTATTTGACATACAATATTAGTATAGTGTGAAGAATTACAATTTTCTACAATACAATAGTTTTGTTGTAGCAATTTATGAATAATTATTAACATTAGAAAAGTTGTATGTATTTAGAGCTGTATTTCGAGCAGAAAATCTTGTTCTATATTGATTTCTTAAAATATACCACTATACCTTCGCAATCAGTGTTGTACATTGTCATTTTAGATTAAAATATTTCATATTTGTCTTACAGAATAAGAAGTATTAATGTGACTTATACACTTTATGTCCGAAAATACTCAGAATGCTTTAACATCTATTTGCAGGATTGAGTTTAGGTACAACTAATGTTTCTGGCACACAACCATCTACATCAGGTATTTTTGTTTAATTTTTTTAGTTTACATTTTACTATCATTTCTTTTTTTTTATCAACATAATCTATAGCATTTTAGTTTTTTTTGGAAGATTTTGTTATACTTTTAAATTCATTCAATTTTTACACAATGTCCTTTAAGCTATTAAGGTTGAGATTTTTATTTCCTTCTTTTATTTCAGCAGCACCGAGTCTTGGACTTGGTGGGGTTGCACCTACTGGGACTGGTACAACAAACACTACCACTGGAGATGGAAAATGTATGTGGAAATCAAAAATATAAAACTATTATCAATCAACTGGTCATTTAATAGTGAAAATTAGAACAATTTCCCTTTTATAAGTCTTTTCTACATATCTGTGTTATTCATTAATAAGTTTTACTAAAAACGAAAAAATTTTATCAACAAATTGCTTTGAGAAACACATTTTTTATTCAATAAAAAGATGTAAATTTAACTTTCTGTGATCCACCATTATCACAGTTATGATCAGAGGGATCTCAGTTACTTTTGTTAAAACGACCTATACACTAAGACATGTAAAACAATTTAATATTTAATTTACAGCTGAACCACCAAAGCAGACCAAGTTACCAAACGAGATCTCCACCTTAGTGGATTCTTTCAAAGAGTTTGTCAAGAAACAGAAGTCGCTCAGTTCTGAAGTTATGCGCGTTTCCATCAAGCCATTGCACAAGGTTTGCTTTGTACAATATTATGATTGAGTAACAACTCTTGAATAATTAATTAACTTGTAATAAATTATTTAGTACCACTTATGAAAGTGCCATGTGTATCCCAGAAATGGCGTTTTACAGGTGGGTCGGGAGGCCGAGGCGACGTTGCGCTCCGCCCTGGCTCTCCGCGGCGAGACCAATAGGGCGAGGGCGCAGTCCCGGCGCCTCCGCGCGGCCGCCGCCGAAGCCCTAGCGGCCGCCGAAGCCGCCGCCAGAGACCCCCCCGGTGAGCTGCTTTTTTATATATATATATATACCAAATATGAAAATATTAATAACAATTTATAAGTATAATTTTATCTGTGGTAGGGCCACGCAATGGTTTTACTGTTGCACGAATGGGCAGGTCCATCCGAGTAAGAACCACAACCTCACAGAAGATCAGCGTAAAGTAGAAGTGTTACACTTCTGTGTTACATCTGATGAGTGAGCTAGCCGGAGCCTATTATGACAATGTTTAATTATAATAATATTTATTTATTTATTACATATGAAATATATAATTATGTATATGTTTATTTATAAACCCAAACAGTTGGAAAATAAATAAATATCGCCCATAATAACCATACTTAATATTTTAAGACACCTTTTTACACAGCATTCCCTAGTCCAGAGCTAAGCAACACTTGTTCTATGGGTACTAGATAACTGATATTCATACTTAATACACTTTACATTTAAAATTTCATTTACAGGATCCGAACTAGAGGGAAGTGCACCACCAAGATATATAAAGGAGCTAATTGCAGAGCTGGAGCAACAGCTTATCATGTTCCGTAGGCAGATGGACGTAGCCGATAAACAGATGCAGGCATCACCCAAATTGCTCACTGAGCAAGGTATGCATACAATTCCAGTACTCTGTACTCTGTAACATACTATTTTGCTTAAATATGGATTTGGTAACTCAATTAAAAATATGGGAAGGCTTTCAAATATGGAATGCTGACTACAATACTGAAGATTTTGGCCTGACATTGGGCAGCTAACAAAGCTGCTACTGTTTGAATTGTTTTTTGCACTATTTGCACTACTAATGGTTCGTGTATGAGCCAAATTTTGAGTAATAGTTTCTTAATTCTATTCTCAAATCATAATATACATCATGTCGTTACAACCGCGACAATAAATCAACACAAAAATAGAGAATAACATTTTAAAATTGTATTAACATTCTCTAAACATAAATATTTACAGTTATAAAATTTAACAAAACAAACATTTTTAGAACAACCTTACGTATAAAACTGTAACGTAAAGTTCATTTGTAAAAGTCACAAAGCATATGAATGGGTTGAATAAATTTAAAAGAGATAAACATACTGTTAGAAGGAGAGACTTGTGACATTGTGGGAACGAATGAAAACGTCTCTGAATGTATGAATCAGACGGTTGTAGTTGTACAGGATGTTACAAATATTGTTTCTTTTTTATTTAATTAGTTTGAAAAATATATTTTTTTAATTATGGCCTTTTTAATGTTTTATATTTTTTTATGATTATTGGCATGTAGCGTTAGAAGTATATTCATTTAGTGTCGCGGTTGTAACGACACGCTGTATATATGGATGTCCTTTTAAAACATACCAACATAATATACATAAGGGTTTGTAGACCATATGTGATGTGAAAAATATGTTTTTTTGTATTTACCATTTAAGTGATGTTTGTATTTGATGATTGTTTGTGTGTTTAGAATTGACGCTGGGAATTCGTCGTATGCACGAATCTTTGGTCGCGTTGGCTGGGCGTCTACAAGCAGTACATACTCAGGTTGAAGCTCAGAAGGAGCAATATCTCAACTTGAGAAAATACATACTCAAGGACCCCACAAATGTATTCGACACACCTTCTTGTGAGTATTTGTTTTGTTAATTTTTTTTAATTTCTACAATTAATGTGTGTAATACAAACTAATTTACAATCTATCTAACAATATGACATAATTTTTTAAATATTATTTAATAATTAAAAACTTTTTTATTGTTCGTGTTACTGTACATAGTCAATATTTTTATATCATTTGAGTATTTTTTGATTGTGATGTTCCCTATTTATCAACAGCAAGCGCCAGTTTGGATCAGATTTTGCATGACGCTGAAGGTACAAGGAAGAAGACAAAATCAAATACTATGTCAGATATCAGTTTCGGCATTAGCAGCGCTGTTTTGGCTGATCCCAAAGTGGCTTTAGGTGAGCAGTGTGCTTTTATTTTAATTAGTTCAAAGTAAGCGGTAAAAAATAAACATGACAGTTTAAACTTTCGCTCCCGAGATTGAAAATAAATTCTGATAAATTGGAAAAACTGACATTGACTCAACATAGCTGCAATGGGTCTATGATGACACATTTCGAATTTTATTCAGATTTAGCCATTGCTAAGAAATATATTATCTAAAGGATATCTTTAAATAATATAAAAATAAAATAGGAGATAGAAGACACCTGTAAAGCAACCAGCAGACATGGTAAGAACACTATGGTCATCCTCATCAATTCAATAACTTCAATAGAATAACTATTTATATTGTTCAAAAAGTAATAACTCTGTTGTTACAAATTTTTAAAATGCTTACACCAAGAGATAGCTCAATCGTTCTTTTTTTTATAATGATGTCTAGCAAGCTGACAGTTCAACTGATGTTCAGTGATTACCACCAGCCATCTACAACACCTGAGGGCTTGCAGATGCATTGAGAACCTTTTAAGAAGTGGGCCCCGGTTACCTCACCCAGAAGAAACGCGAAAGTTTAATACCGGTCTTGTGTGGGTGGTCACTTCATGTTCTTCTTTTGTAATACCGTGGTAGTTTCCGAGATGAGCACCCCATTTGTGAAACAGCAGAAACTGTTGCTTAAGCTAACAACATTTAAAATTGCAATTGTTATCTTATTGCCTAAATGAAGATTGGAATACTTAACATAAACTTCAAGTGTCCTTAGACTTTAAATGTGACTAAGTACCCAGTCAAGGTTAAGTCAAGCAAACCTATCTACAACATAATAAAATATCTATTACAGGCAACATTCAACAATTGGCTGGACCAACTCCATTTACATATTTAGGCAGTGCATTGTCTCCATTCCCCACATCCGATACAACTGGTTAGTCTAAAACACTTTTACTTTTCTAACACCCATTACTTTTCTAAATACTGATAACTTATTACCGTTTTATAAGAACCATAGGTAAATAATATTACATGGTTACAAGAAGTACAAATGGGATAACAAAGACTTCATGCTACTGATCTATAAACTTAATACAAAGGTTCTTGTAACACTAACAGCAGACTCCCGTTACCTTAAAAAATGAAATTCAAGAGTATATTACTTGTACTTATGCTCCTGTAAGGCCATAACCCTACTGCAGCGAGAATAACAGTCATTGAATGTCATTGAGTTCATGACACTTGGAGCGCTTTCCGATCCTTGTACACCACTAGCCTTTTCTTCCTCCATGTATACAGCGTGTCGTTACCATCGCGACAATAAATAAACACGTGTAACGCTACTTGCCAATAATCATAAAAAAATATTAACGTTAAACAAAATCCATATTTAAAAAAAAATTTCAAACAAACTAATTAAGTAAAAAGGAAACAAAATTTGTAACATCCTATACAACTCGCGCCACAGCGTCGTATTACAAGACTCTCCTTCTAACAGTATGTTTTGTCTCTTTTAAATTCATTCAACCCATTCATTTGCTTTGTGACCTTCACAAATGAACTTTACGTTACGCTTTTATAGGTAAGGGTGTTCTAAAATGCTTTGTTCTGGAAAATGTAATAACTCTGTAAATATTGATGTTTAAAGAATTTTTTTTTTTTTTTTTTTTTTTATGCTAAATGTTGCCAAACGAGCAGACGGGTCACCTGATGTTAAGTGAATACTGCCGCCCATGGACATCTGCTACACCCGAGGGTTACAGATGCGTTGACAACCTTCTGAAAAATGGACTCCGGCTACCTCACTCACCACCAGACGAAACGCGAAAGTATTTGTCATACTTCCACTTTACGCTGGTCTTCTGTGAGGTCGTGGTACTAACCCGGACGGGCCTGCCCATTCGTGCAACAGCCGAGGCTGCTGCGTGGCCCTACCACCATGAAGACCAATTAAATTTATTACCAATTTAAATGTTTAATACAAATTTAAAAAGTTATCCCCGATATGTATGTTCATTTATTATCGCGATAGTAACGACACGCTGTATATGAAGATACAGTACTGATAGAGGAAAGTGAAGGGAAGAGAAAGACATATTGTGCCATCCCCACCTAGTAGGGCAGGAGAAAGATGATGTATATATGTAATGTATGTATCTACATTTATACATACACACATTGCAAGTTTGCACAAAACCAGTCCTAACTGACCTTGTGTATCTTGCTACGTTATAGCTGTCTATTCTAGGGTAAGTAGGTGACCAAATATTTATCTACAAAATGATTTAAATTATGAAATAAAGTGATAATCGGAATCTAGCATTTCAATTCCGCTCATAACTGTCAGACTAATCATTCCCATCATCATCGCCATCATTATCATCACATCATTAATGCTGCTTTCCCCCATAAAACTAGAACATGTATATAAGGTAGGTATTTAAAATATTACATGTATTTAAACCAAGTTATCATCTTAAAGTAAATACTTAAAGATGACTTTTGTTCTTTTTCTCTTTACCGTTATTAATTTAAAAATAATTATCAAAACTAGTTAAGACTTGGATACATTTGTTAATGTCTTTTAATCAACATATTATATAATATAAACCGTACTTTTGCGATTGAGTTGAATAATTGCTCCGTGTATTTAAAAAGGTCAGTCTTAAATCCCCTCCGATAATAATTATCAATGTGTACGATTTGTACAAATTTCAGAGGTGCATACAAATGCCGCATGCCATATACCTAAAGGAGCATATTAATTTCAGGTCCGAACTGGCAGCCCCAACAGCAGACCAGTCTGAACATGTCCATGAAGAACATCGGCTTCGCTGCTTCAACGCAAGCGGAGACCAGCTCCGGTTTCCAGCTGCAGAAACCGCCCGGAAAGCGCGGGAAACAATGATATTGGCGCTAAACCTCATGGCGACGGAAGTCTATTGCCATCGGGGACACTCGCATTAGAAGCAGTTTAATAAGTGGTATTATGTGCGGTGCATAATGAAAAGAAACTGTTCATGATGAAGGAGATAAGTGTCGATTCAAATTTGCTCTAAAACAGTGATTCTTTGTTGGTAACAAGTTTAATTAGGTATGTTAATGTTTTCATGCACATATGTTTTTATCAATATATACTTTTGTAATAAAATGTTTGTATGTTTATTTTCTTTTTCTTTCGTATATTAGGGTGTATAGGGCTTTACAACACACAGCAGTGAGCATAATATTGAAACAATATACTCCTGATTCAATTATCTTCATTCAATGCATGAAGCGCTAAATTACATAATTACTTATAGGAAGTCAATACTTATGTTATAATAATATTTTACACCTTTTTTTACACCTTAAACTTGCGTAATTTCTGTTCTGTTTAGGTTAAAAAAAATTAATCTGTTTAAGTTAAATTGATTAATTTTTTTTTATTATTGGTACTTAGCTGTGCTAAAATAGTTACCTACAGAACTTGAGGAAGTCAATCAAATCAAATCAAAATATATTTATTCAAATAGACGCTTGCGCGCTCTTATGAATCGTCAAATTTTACATCAAAGATTATGTGTATAGGTTCGTAAGGTACCACCGGTTCGGAAAGCGGTTTCTGTTGAGAAGAGACCGGCAAGAAACTCAACAGTTGCTCTTTTTTCAAAAATATCAGGGTACAATATAATATACAGGTATAATAGTCTTATTCTAGCCTACGTGAGTATCAACAGTATTAACTCCACACATTGGCGTCGTCGAGATATTCCGAAATGGTATAATATGCTTTAATCATCAGTTGATTTTTAATTTTACATTTAAATTGGTCAAGCGGCAGACTAATATCGACTGTGGGATTTTATTATACATGCGTACACTTTGCCCCATGAACGACTTATTTACTTTTTGTAGACGAAACAATGGCGTAGTAAGTTTGTCCTTATTTCTAGTGTTTATTTTATGTCTGTCACTATTCTTTAGGTAATAATTAAGGTTATGACGTATATACAAAACATTACAATAAATGTATTGAGAAGCAACAGTGAGTATATTAACCTCTTTGAAAAGATCTCTGAGTGAATTCCGGGCTCCGATATTGTAGATTGCTCGGACAGCTCTTTTTTGAAGAATAAATATAGTATTTATATCTGATGCACTACCCCACAACAAAATGCCGTACGACAAGATGCTGTGAAAATAACTAAAGTAAACAAGTCTGGCAGTGTCGATGTCTGTTAGCTGCCTAACCCTTCTAATCGCAAAAACCGCGGAGCTCAGCCTATTCGCAAGAGATGATATATGGGGACTCCACTGGAGCTTTGAATCTACTGTAATTCCCAGAAATACAGCAGACTCAACTGGATTAATGGGTACGTTATTTAATATTAAACTAAAACTTTTCCTTCTTATACTGGGAAGGGTAAAAAGAATACATCTGGTTTTTTTTGGCATTTAATACCATATTATTAATAGTAAACCAGTGGAGGATATGTGAAAGCGCACTATTCACGTCGTCATAATTTAATACGTTTCGGTCAACATTTAAAAATAAGCGATGTATCGTCAGCAAACAGTACAACATCACACAACCCACTGGCATAAAAGGGGAGATCATTAATATATACTAAAAATAATAATGGGCCCAAGATTGATCCTTGTGGGACTCCCATTTTCATCTGGGACCCAGTGGAATTAACATCATTTATAGATACTTTTTGAATTCTATTACTAAGGTAAGAGGCAATGAGATTGAGGGCGATCCCACGAATATTCTAGCTTTTGAAGAATAGTTTTATGGTCTACGCAGTCGAAGGCTTTTGAAAGGTCACAAAAGACACCTATTGCATCTTGTGACCTTTCCCAGGCGTTATAAATATGTTTGACAAGTGCGACGCCCGCATCTGTTGTCGATCTGCCTTTAGTGAATCCATATTGCTCATCGTGAAAGATTTTGTTCACATTAAAATGAACTAAAAGTTGATTTAATATTAGCTTTTCAAAAACTTTACTAAGAGATGGCAATATGGAAATAGGTCTATAGTTGCCTGGATCATTTTTATCACCACTTTTGTAGACAGGTATTATCTTACTAAATTTCATAAGATCTGGAAATATTCCAGAATCTATGCAGTTGTTAAAAATAGAAGCCAAATGTGGTGCAATATATGGCATTATTGTGCTCATTAATTTTATGGACATACCCCATAAATCCTCTGTATTTTTAAGATTAATAGAATTCAAAACTTTTATAATATCATAAGTATCTACGTGATTAAATTTAAATGTGTGTAGGCAAGGGGTAACATTATTTCTTAAAACATTAATTGCGTCTGCGGGAGATGATTTTAATGTACGTGTGACATTAACCGCAATGTCTGAAAAATAGCTTTCGAAACTACTCGCAATTTCGTTATCTGATATTATGGGAGTATTACCTACAGGGCCGTGCCTGGGTATATGGCCGCCTGCGTGCCAGTCTGTATGGCCGCCCCCAGGATAACATTAAAAAAAAAACTACTTTAATTTTTAATGTTTATTATTTTACACAGGGCATCAAACCGGGAAAAAAATCAGTTTTTGGTTAACCGAAATCGAGAACGATAAAAAAACTTTTTATTAAATTTCACCACACGAACACACAACTAAAAGTTTTCAGGAATTAAGCAATTTATTTTTATTCGTTAAATTAAAGAATTTAATAATATCGGATCACACACAGGACACAAATAACGATTTATCCTCGCTAGTCTATAGACTAATACGACTAATAAGACGAATAAGACCGCTTACGCGACGCCGGTCAATTGAAAAAACTATTTCGGCTCGTCGCTCGTGCAATGTTCGAAAAAATTCGGATTCGCTGCATGACTAGGTATATAAATACTACAACGACCTAATCAGTTTTTATACCTTTCTTATTTCTGAGAAACTCTTTTTAGATAGATTAGATTAGAGAAACTGTTTTTACTTCGTATCTTAATGAAAACAAACCGATTGTATTTTTGCCCAGTAAACAACTTGTAACGATTTGGCCGCCTCTTAATTTCGGCCGCCTGCGTGCGGTGCACGCAATGAACGCCCGTCAGGCACGGCCCTGATTACCTATAACTAGTTTTATAGGTTCCCTGAATATCTTGGTTCTTCCAGATATACGGGTAATGATGTCCCATGTGGCTTTAGTTCTATTGTTTGAATTTATTATGCTATTTCTTATATAAATAGATTTTTTGCCTGAATACAGACTTTTTTAAATATTTTTGAAAATGTTTGTACCCGTTTAAGGAAGTTAGGATCGTGATTCCACTGCCTCATACTATATAATTCATACAATGAATCCCTACTTTTGTATATACCCACTGTTGCCCAGTCACTAATTTTAATTTTGAATTCTTAGCAATTGTGCGCGATTTAAAAGTATCATTATAAGAAGATATGAGAAAGTCAACCATTGATCTATAAGAGTCATTAGGGTTATTGACTCCTATATCTTTATTTAACATATGATGTGCCACTTTATCTCTAAAAGCATTTATTCTATTAGTAGTGACTGGTCTACACTTGATCTTAAGTTTGCTTGTATTAGCTTTTTCATTTATTGAAAATTTTAGCCCAAAGTGATCCGAGCTCAGATGATTTATAACATATTTATCATATACATCACTGTGACAGAATACATTATCTATACATGAGGAGGATAAGTTAGTAACACGAGTTGGTTCATGAAAAAGATTTTTAAGTTCAAATGAGTTAAATAAATTTAAAAGTCGTTTACTGAGTTGTGTTACTTGTAATAAATCCACATTAAAATCTCCACAAACTATTAATGATTTACTACTTGAACATAGTTTTTTTAAGAACATCATCCATTACACACTCAAACTGATCGAAATCACCTGAGGGGGGCCGGTATACGCATACTATAATATACTGTTGACTCTCAACGCAGGATAATTCAATAGAACGTTCGACAGAGTGTGCCACTATATCCTGTCGATTTTTACAGACTATATCAGTTCTAACTAATACAAGAGAGCCACCGCGAATAGCATTTACTCTTACGAACGAACTTAACAATTTATAATTTTCTATATTAACAATATTACAGTGCTTATGTAACCATGTCTCTGTGAAGCAGATGACATGTATATTAAATTTCCTAAGGAACAATTCAATTTCGGGTTCTTTGCCGCCTAAGCCTTGTATATTTTGATGCACAATATTTAATTTAAGTGGCCTAGGCGTTGTCTCAATGTTTAGTTTAAACTAACATTGTTTGCTGAAGGATTATTACATAATAAAAATACTTATGTTATAATAATATTTTTACGCCTTAACCTTGCGTAATTTCTGTTCTGTTTAGGTTAAAAAAATTTAATCTGTTTAGATTAAATTATAATTAGGACCTACCACCTTTTAGAATTTGCTAACTTTCATGTAAAGAATAAATCCTTGCAAGTTGATTATATGAATCTGTGCTCAGAATTTTAAATAAACGTAACGATTACTGATTCTATGAGATATTTCCTGAGACTATTAATTTAGTGTCTTCATATCACGAGATTAGTGATTCTAATAGTTTTCATATAGGCAGGTTTAGGTTCATCAAGGACTCTCCAAAGTGGGCGGTACTGTCGCCCAGTGGGGACTAAAGCTATTGTAAGGGGTCACTAATACCAAATATTGTCCGGGCGCTCGCCTTTAATTCAATATACTCGAGCAACCTGAGATCGATCTCCGGTGCGGGCACCGATGAAATTGTTAATTTTAAGTGCTGACTTATCACGTGCTCAGCGGTGAAGGAAAACATCGTGAGGTAACCTGCATATTTTCGAAACAATAACAAAAAATATATCGAAGATATGTGAAGTCCGCCAATCCGCAGTGGGGCCGCGTGGTGGACTATGCCCTGATACCCTCCGTACAGAGGAGGCCTTTGCCCCCGCAATGGGAATTTTATAGGCTCTTACTTTACCTTAAGGGAAAATCGGTGGGCGGTGGAAAGTATAAGAGCACGTTGAAAAACAGTTGCGGCCACACTGCAAGACATTTCATTCATTCAAGAGTAGTTCTTTTAACAGCCTACGTTATTATTATATCCTTACATATTTTTATAAAAAAATTGATGAAGAACTTGAGGAGGCGTTGGGTAATCACTATTTCATAAAACGGGTGGTAGACCAAAAAATTTTGAGAAACACTGATCAAGAATTGCGAGGTCTGATTGTATGAGAGGTTGCGAAATAAGTGTCTGGATAAAAAACAAAAACATAGTCTATGTTCAAAGTCCCCTATTGTTTTAAGTGAAAGTGACTGTTTTAAGTGAAAGTGACGACCCGAATGGCGTAGTGGGTAGTGTACCTGTCTCCTGCGCCAGAGGGTGTGGTTTCGATCCCCACTACTGGAAAAATATTGTGTGATGAACTTAGTGATTTTATTTATTATGTATTTTTTTTTTGTAAGGTGTGTATTTATTAAGAGATTGCGCTTTTTGTAAGAAAGACTGGCACTTGTAAAACATTCTTTATTTTTATATTTAAATTAAAACTTTGAAATTGCTGAAATAAATTTTAAATATGTAATAACTAAACCTACCGGAAGAACAAATAGCTATATTATTTTTGACCATAATCAATACCATGAAGTGTAAAATCAATATAATTAGTAAATAGAAACTTGCCACATTTCTCGAAATTTTCTCACTATTGTACTATTTTTGTACACTTAAATTATTCTTTAGTTTGTACACCAGAAATGGTAGAACATAAGAGACGTTACAACTTTAAAGACCCATATTGTACCATGTGTTAAGAAATAAAGTATCTTTCTTTTTTCCATTCCAGATTATAAATGCCTTCGTTATCTGTCCCGTACAGTAATTAATAGCTTTGATTCGAACGATTTTTTTTTCTAAATGAACTAAATAGATTGCCAGTATGGTTTAGATGGAGGCGTTCGCTAAAGCTCGTCTTTAACTAGCTTCAATATCTCGTCTTCCTCCTCGGTCCACATGTCAGGCTGCGTTGCCATCTGTCCGAGCGCCTCCATTCGCCTCTCCATCGTCACCTTATCCAATATGTGCTCCATCTTCACGTGCATGCAGTCGTTGAAGATCGAGGCGTACTCGCAAATCTCGAAAATTCCGTCCACGGCGCCGGTGCACTCTGCTATCGCGGATTTGAGACGCGTCATGACCTCGCTGTCTTCTTCGTAGACCGCCTTGTTCGCGTCGAGGAGGGCGGCCGCGTCGACCCTGCCGTTCTTTATTATCGCGTTCCGTTTGAGTATGCACGCCACGAAGCATTTCCCCTGCATCGTCGACTGCGGTATCCTCTTCAGAAAGTTCTCGACGTCCACCATAGACGCTCTGACTTGCCGCGCGCACTCCGTGAGGTTCCTCCTGAACGGTTCAACCTCCTGGTTCATCCTGTCCATCTTCTCCATCTGCTCCTCCTTCGTGAGCGGCGTGAAGGACATCGCTAGGTAGAAAGCGGACGCGCTCACCAAAAATAGCATCGTCGCGGCGAAGTTCGGGAAAGAGCTCGATTTTTTCGCCCCTCCCGTTCCGTGCGCGCTTCGCTCTGGGCGGCCGCATACCGCGAATATTGTTAACTTAAAATGCACTATCGTAGCCTAATTGATCGTTATGTTCGTGTGACGTGGTCCTGGGCGATTGGAACGAGTAACAGTTGCTGCACTGTTATCTCAAGAGACTATAACTTTCTATCGCAGAACTTTGGATAACTCACACCCAATAGTATTATGTAAAAGAAAGCGTTGCGCGAATACATAGTGATCCATAAATCTTCAGCATCATCTATTTCTTTATTATTTTACGGGTTCAAATATAGTATGTAATGATTGATATTTAAAGGAAAAATTAAATAAAGTAAACTGAGAAAAAATGTTTACATGAGAGTTTAGTCTTTTATCTTTCGGGTGATAGTGAGGTAACCTTCAAGAAGAAGTCGTACCTACATCTAAAAGGCTGGCAATACTAATGCGACTTGATACTGATTATTTACCATCAGATGAGCCGGTTCCTCATTTTCTATCTTCTGTACAAAATATATTATTGTATCGTTATTGGTATGCACGCTGTATTTTAGCTTATTTTCCCTTTAATTAAAGCACTTCATATTTATTATTCAACTGATCAAAATTCGACAATAATCATTTTGGAAAATTTTTCAAATACGAGCGTTGGCGCGAAGGAGTGAAAAAGCAATTGACTAGATCGGTTGTTCGACACCGAGCTGTTCCTTCATCACCTTCAGTTCTACCCTGTACACCTCTTCAGTTAGACCATTTCTCGAGTAGTAATAAAAGCGCTGACACTGCTCCAGAACACACACACAACCAGCCTCTGTGACTAATTTTCCCCTATGTGCAATGTTTTGCTGTATTCCTTACAGTCCAACCAGAGAGATTTCTAGAGGGATCTCCTTATCATCAAAGTGACAATCCGACTAACAATCGCCTATTGTCTGTCTATTCAACAGGTCAAGGCTAGCTCGATGCGATATATTGTTGTTCAGTCAGGTCAAACGGTATCAATTTTCTGACTTTTTTTTTATTTTTCTCAAATAGCCTTCCTTTTCATGGAATAGCAAAATGTGTTAATGTATAAATATTGCTAAAAGATTAGTAAAAAGATTTTTTTTATGTGAGAAGGTGGTAAGCTAGCTGGTGATCACTAATGTTAAGTGATAACAGCCATGGACATTTGCAACACCCGTAGGATTCACTCGCGTTACTACTTTTTAATAAAGGCAGCCACAAAAAGACACTCCACGCCGGTCCACGGTGAGGTCGTGGTACTTTACCGGACGGACCCGCCCTCAGTTACTTCATTACGAATTTTCAATAAAATTGTAGGTTTGTGAGAAGATTCGAGATTAAAATTTAAGTGTAATTGTCTTTCTCTTTTCAGTTTTTTAAGAGGGTCCACAATAATTATTTCTGGCGTTGTCAAACTTACTCTACATTTCAAAGTAACAAAAATATTTTACAATAAAACAAAATTCATATTACAAAGTATTTATTACATATTTACGATTGACAAGTCACTAATTATTCAATTTGAACACTATTAAACTAATATAATCGTATATCACATTAATGTTTTCTATCGCAGAATAGAAAAAAGAATGTCTACAATTATTACTATACAAGTTTTTTGGGCATTTTGTGATATATTCATAAAAAAGTGAAGTAAAGTGAAGGATCGAGGAGGAAGACGAGTAAAGAAGTTTGTATGTTTTTTTTTTTTTTTTCATTTTGGATTTGATGACTGCGTGGCGCAGTTGCCAAGGTATTGGCTTCGGCGTCGGGGATCGCGGGTTCGATTCCCGCACGGGACAACTATTTGTGTGACCCACAGATAGTTGTTTCGCATCTGGGTGTTTGTCCGCGTGCAATTTATGTTTGTAAAAACGTCCTTACAACACAGGATAATGTTATCCTAAAGTGAGGGAAATGTTTTTGACAAAAAGAATATGTCCCAATGCTGGGCAACCTCCTCTGTGTCGATAGTTCACCACGCGACCCAAAATTCATTGGTGACGGCACCGGGATTTGAACAAAGGTCGCTCGAGTACACAGAATTAAAAGTTAGCGCCCGAACACTGAGCTATCACGGCTTAATATCTATAACAATAACCGCAATATTATTAAAACAAGTACCACTTTAGTTTTCTGAGTCTGAGTAGCTTTTTATGTAAGAGCAGCATGAATAATTAGAATTTTCGATTTCTGTGGACTGTGGTCTTCTTCGTTTTATTTTATGACAGGATTTATATTGAAACATTGTAAAATAACAAACATGTTTTAATTTGTGTAATCTTAAAGCCTTATTAAAAAGAAATCTTAACAAAACAACACTAAAATATCTCTCTCTCTCTGGCCAGTATTTAAAAATATATCTATTCGAATTAAATTAAAAATAATGGCCCGAACATAATATTAATAATTTTAAGAATAATTTTTTTTAACTAAAAACATTGACGTATGCATTTTAATACGCGTACATCGTCTTTTATACAATCTGCTCTTTATACACGGAATGATATAATTGGTAAAAATGGATTATTCAACACAACATTAAAGTAAAAGTACATAATTAACATTTTATGAAGAAAAAAATTATTGTTCGAAAACTTTAACGCAATATCAGGGGCAATTAAACATTGTAATAACATATTACCTTAATAAACTTCATTTTGGATTACATTAAATTGTATTACCATTAATTTTCATTTGAATATAGCTATTTAAGTCGTTGATGATATAATTGTGGCGAAGGAAATTGGTACATAACAAACTTCATTACGTTTTATGATCTACTAAAAGACATCGACTGTTTTTTAGTTATAAACGAAAATGAATTGCGCATATTGAAAGTATACATTTCAAGCCATAATCAATGTAGTAATATAACCGTACGCATATTTTGAAGAACTATAAAAGACTCATTCAAGTTTTGAAACTGGTAAAGTTTTATGAATTATTTTAGAATATTTAAATAATTTTTCCAATTTCTACCATTTTACCCTAATAAATTTAAATATAAATTCGAATAATTCAAAAGTTCGAACACTTTGTAACTTTCACGGTAACAGAGCCACGAATGTTTTATTGTATGAGGGTTTTCATTTAATGTTCATTTAAATGAGAACCATTTTTAAATTGGTTTAAATGTACATTAAATGAAAACCCTCATAACTCCTCTATATGATACTCATAGAGTAAAGTAATACTACTGAAGTACTGATGATAATTCTCAGTTTCACTTTCATTTTGAGTTCAGTTCATTATTTTATTTGTTATGGTTTTTAGTATATATATTTATAAGCTATACAGAATAGCGAACTTAATTAATCGTGTTCCGCCTCTGCCAATCAAACAAAGCAATTATATATTATGACTTGATCATGTATTAAATTAGAGAGCTCATGTAAAATGATGCATAACGATGTGAACATTTAAATTTCTTCTATAACTGAGAGATAGCACGACGTGAAATGGCTGCATACTCCCTCCCGCCGTTATAATCAATAACGAGCAGTAACAGGAATGGAGTTTCGTATTCTATCCTCTCCTATCCTACACAACCTACAATCATAGTTTGTCAACCTTCAAAGAAGGAGTCTCAATTGGACTGTATTTTTTATATTTGTTACCTCAGAACTTAGACCGATTTTGATGATTCTTTTTTTATTTGAAAGCTAGTGCTTTCCACGTGGTACCATATTAACTTCACTGGTATTGGATCATGGGCTCCGGAGATACGTAGGGAACTCCTGAAGATTCTTACTAACTACGCGAAAGTTTGTATGTATGGATGGATGTTTGTTACTCTTTCACGCAAAAACTACTGAATAGATTTTAATGAAACTTTACAATAATATAGCTTAAATATCGGAATAATACATAGGCTAAAATTTATAAAGATATTGTGTGAATTGTCCAAAATATAGGTAAAGATAAAGTGTCAACTAATTAGTAAAACAATTCTGCCATCTGCGAGGTTCTGGTGTATAATAAAAAACTCATGGTTTTGGTATATAGTATTTCCCTATGGCCGCGCGGGCGACGCCGTGGTTAACAGCTAATCAGTTATAAATATTAATACAGAGAGAGACATTTGAAGTCAGTTTTGTTTTTCGTTAATAAAAAATGGACTTGTTTAACCTATTATTGCAACAACATCGTGGCTCCGTACCTTTCTTTTTAAATTTATATTTGTTTGGGCGAAACGATTCATCTGATCGATGTTTGTGCACTATATAAAGCTTCATTAGACACAGTGCTAAAGGCTAAATTTCCATAAATACTTATGGACAGTTGAAAAACCATTAGCTCTTTGGGGATCGCTTATTCCCTTAACAGTCTTTTAATGCATTTAAAAAGACATTTACTAAATGAACAGAGTATGGCGACACTGTCACATAAAGCGGTGTGAACAAATTCTGTTCACACCGCTTTATGTGACATCATCGTAGAAGTTAACTAATCAGCTGTCAAATGGCTTTTAAAAATGTTATTGGAGTTGCTTAAGGAACGCTCTGAATATATTATAATGATCAGAATAATCTGAATGATGATTTAACTTACTTATTAACCCTTTAATAAAGTACCATACGATATTATTTCGATATTGTATATTTATTTATTGTGTATCGGTTTACATTGAATTCAAAAATGTCTGTTAAGACAGTTGATTATACACATATACGAGTAATAATTGTATAATATAAGAGAAATATTTGTCTCAGTTATAATGTTATTGTTCTTCTCGATAATATATTATGAAATTTGGGCAAAGGAACGTGGAATGGATCTAAAAAGTAAAAACACGGTTACACTGATTCCTATTCATACAATTTGTGCGGTTTTCATCTTTTATTTTTTCCCATTTTAATGAACTATTTGATAACAGAGTATAATATTGTATAAGTATGGTTTGTGAGACGGTCAAATAAAGTATGTACAAAGATATAAAAGTATAAAATGTAAAGAAGCCAAAACAAATATCTGTAATTTTGCAAAATTTACTAGGACAACACTAAGTTACAAAGTTCAACAAGTTGTCAACACAAGAATTTTACAAAAAATACAATTATATATTATAGCTATATGAGATCGAGTACTTGTCGATGGTCTAACGAGAAATTTTTATACAGTAGAATAAATGAGATATTTAATCGAATATAATACAAACATTAGGTATATCAATACAATACTACGAATTTGAAATGTTCATCTTTCGATCAAATCAATTTGACAAAATACGACATGTTCCCAGTTCCCACAGAGACTGAACTCTTGTAGCGACTCAATAATTCACAGATCAATGTTTTGAGCCCATTTCTTAAAGTAAGCTCATTCAATATTACCTTTATACATAGAAATAGATCCTTCCCTTCTTACAAACATTATCAAATCAACAACATTTCAAGGAATGCTCTCAGTATCACGCCAGAGTCACGACAGTCACAATCAAGTATTAAAATATTATGTTATAATAATATCAGTCATATCAAGTTTTAATATTCAAAGATTTACGCTTGATTAATACTACAGTTATGTATATATCCCAATTATAACTTTTGTATATGTTAATAAAAGGTTCGAATTACATTTCTAACCTAGAACTAAGACATTAAAGAATATTAGGTTATATCCAATGAATTTAGTAAATATTTAAATATTCTCTAGTCGAATAAAAAAATTTCGTCGCCTCATCAGTAAATAAAAAAAGGACTAGGCAGATGTTTGAAATTGTAATATCTTTTCTCGTACATGTTTTACAACATTTTTACAGCGATGAAATGTCATTGTATTAATTTACGCGATAAGAACGAGCTCACAAAAAACTTGTTTTTTAGCAATTACCTTATCTCATAGCCGTGTAGAACACCACTAGACAAGAACGCTTTTATGCAACTCAAGCGTATGCAAATTTTGTGATTTTGCGTAATAATGTATGGAATTATAAAGCCATTAATATTAACGATACAAAGCCGGTTCAGTTTACAAATGGACCTTGAGAACTATATACGGAGCACGATTCATTATTCTTTTAAAACAACATTCTTTTACACAATCGCGTCCATCGGGCATACAAAAACATACAACGATATAATTAGGCCTTCACGTGGACGAGACATTGCAACACTGGCAGTTTAGACACGCATGCAATTAATTACTCGTTTTTTTTGACAAACAAAAAAAGTGAGGTTTTATTACGTCATTGAATTAAAGAAATATCTAATATATTTGTGAGATTGAAAGAAACGAATTCTAAGATAATTACAGGCAACGTACGATAAGAGAACACTGCGTTTCATATGGTAACACTACGTTTTTCAACGAGGCAACATTACACCTCTCGCAAACATCATTACACATCTATAATATTGGATAGAGAACACTTTCGTGCGGTCGCAAAAAAATCGCCGCTTTCACTTTTCCGCATCCCATTGCAACACAGACGAGCCTCGTTTCGCGTACAGCGAAATCATTCGAGGAGGATCAATCACTAGGGCCGTTTTGTCGGCGGACGAGCTTAGCTCTCCTCTGTTTCGACCAGCACCGGCAGGCTGGCGTGGTGGTGGCAGCTGGGCGAAGCGTTCGCGGTGAACGCCGACAGCCATGCGTCTATCTCCCTCTCCGGGCAGAGGAACTTTGCGGAGATCGTGTTGTCGTACCCCTTCTGCCTCACGAAGAAACCGCCGTTCGACTGGACTCGTTCGGCGGTCGTGTTCCTCAGGTTGACGACGCCCAGCGGCTTCGACAGCCGCTTCCTCGGGTATATCACCGCGAAGTGCTCCAGCGACGTCCTGTACACGACCACGCGCACGTCCTGCCTCATCCCGCCCGGCCCCAACAGCACTAGGAAGCCAGACTTCACCTCCGCGTCGAACGCCTTCTTCTGCGGCCTTTGGAACCGCTCCGCGCGACAGCTCATCAAGTCGGTCGGCATTTCACTGTTTTGATTCCCACAAGCTCGCATTACAGTGCGTCGCGTCCGGCGCGACACAACCTCCCTACACTGCGTCTGAACAAGAACTGAAGTCGATCCCCCATTCCAATTTCCGAGACCGGCCCGTGTCGGCCTCCTCCATTGACCCGAAGTTGCTTCGTGAACGTTCGGAGGTACTCGGATTTGCATTCACTCGCTTACCGGAGGCTTATCGAGTGGATCAGAAATGTTAATTCCGCCGTGTTAAGGCAGCCCGTCAGATTCCGCTTCGCTACAGCGGAGATAGGCGAATGTTCCAGAGATTTTTTTCGAATAGAAGTACTGCTAGCAACGAACTGTCGAATTGCCGCAGGAAGTCTATGACGCACAATCGCGATAATGTTTTACATTACACGCCGTTTCTAGTCTGCTAATTCTCATTATAATATTCTTACGAGTAAATCATGCTTCCTTCTTATTACGTTTACAGTTTTATTATTATATCTAGCTGTATGGCTTCTATTACTTAAATGCAGATGAAAAAACGACACGAATACATATGATTTGTGCGTGTGTAATTATGAAATAATTATCTCTCCTTAGGTTTATATACTGACGCTGAATTCACAATGAAAATCTCAAATACCGTACCCAATTTTAAATTATCGCCTCCGTTACAATTACCCATGTGTTAAAAAATATTGCAGCCTTATCTGCAACACTTATAATTATTGTCACTCGTCCCGGGAAAAAAAATTTTTTCATACATGTATGGAAATGAAAACTCGCTGGTATTTTCAATTTCTTGACTTAGATCTGACTTAGAATCAGAATTTTCGGATCGGTCAGAAAGCAGATACCTAAAATTTCAAAAAATATGTGCCAATCATTATCATATGAGTATTTACTATATATAATATATAGTTTTTAATCTGTGATAGAGCCATTAATTACTACTAATTACCATAGCACTCCATGGTATGAGTATTTTTCATGTGTATATTGTTTTTATTCTGTGGTAGAGCCCTTAATTACCATAAGCATAGTGCCATTGCCACACAAGACATCGACTTGGTGCAGAAGTTCTTATGTTTTTCATTTGTTTTCTTAACACTAAGTTGACCGGGGTATTCATTTATTATCATCACCTAATAACGCCAGAGTCTTAGGTAGCAGGATAAGCCAGATGCGCAATCATAACATCGCCATTTGTGACACGCGACTATGAAAACATCAACAAAAATCGAATCGGGCTCAGATACAATGCCATGAAACTGGCATGATACACTATGTTTATTACACAACCGCTTACAAACGAACACTGGTACAGTACTTACCGCTCGCTGTGCTCTACATATTCTAATTATATATTACGTTATCAAAACTAAACGTTAGAATTCGGAAAAATAAAATTTAAATATTTAGTTATACATGCATATAGCCGGGAAATGCTCCGTGTGCGGTGCAGAAGCACTTTAATATTTCATATATTAAAGAACTTCATTGTATAAAACAAATTCGTCCCGATGACTGTCTGTCCCTATGTATGCTTACATTTTTAAAATTACGCAAAGGGTCTTGATTCGTTTTACTAGATAGAGTTATTCAAGAGGAAGGTTTATTATTGTATAATACATTGCACCCGTACGAAGACGGGACAGGTCGCTAGTCACATAGCGAACTCGTCAGTTTTGCCAATATACTTTGAATTTACAATAACCGCCTAGGGCTTGACATACGAGATGACAATATAACATAACGTTCTGCAATCCTAAGGAAAACTTACTTTAAGGCAGATAGTTTCCATAACGCTATTGGTGGGATTATCACAAATGACGACCAACGTTGTAATGGTTTTGGGTATAAATGTCTATAAGGAAGAATGTAGATTGTCAAAATATCAAAATCTCTTATAAAATACGACTAGATTATTATTTAATTAAATTTTTAAACCTTGGTCAAAATTATGAATATAATTATAATTACCCGTAATTTCTGATAAATGATATTTGTATAATTTTACAAAATAATTTTTCAATCACACCGATATTGGAACAAGATATTGTGTTCCTGTTTTAATTTTGGCCTAAGCCTGCTAGAAAAAGATCTAGTGCTTTTTAGCGTGGTTATAGATCAATCCATTTTAAATTAAACTGTTCTACAGATATGAAATCTATTTTAACCCTGGGCTATAATATAATTCATATATTTGAACTAGTTTATCTAATATTTACAAGATTCACGCCCGGTTTCTGAAACACTAATCAACGTAGATGTCAAGCAATCAGCTGTCAAATGGCTTTTCAAATTTCATTTTAGTTGCCGCCGACGTTTCGACCACTTTACAACATACGCAAAACATTACACAGACCCCTTCCAATATTTAACCTACCAGTCCAGGTGTTTAATAAATGTCCTAATTCTTGGGTGCAATATATCTCAATGTAACATTCTGCAACAACCGATCTTAACTTTTCACAGGCTCTATTTGAGCGTCTAACCGTAACATTATTTTGAACCACCACTAACCGATTGCAGACAGGGGTTTCCTTACGTTGAAAGATAACTGATAACAATTGCACTATTATCGATATCATTCGTTAAATATTTTTATTAATAACTTTATCATTGTTATTAACATATTGCGAACATCGAAATTACTATTAAAAGTAGCGGGTTGTAACCTCAGTTTGCATATTTTTATGATTTCATATATAAAAAGGTCTACAAGCAAATACTTCTCACATTTAGGGAATAAAAAAGTACGGCTGACGTCAGATAGAGATATAAGACTAGATAAAGCTGTCTTACAGAGGTCTGCCCCGTTAACGTAACACATACACAGTCGATGTTTATTTTATATAACCTTTCGTAAAAAAAAAACGAGAAGTAGTAAACACCTGTCACTACTTCTCGTTTTTTTACGAAAGAAGCTCAATTACGTAACAAACAGTTATTTATGAAGCTCTTTGATGTTCTAATGAATTTTTACAAGTGTTCACTACTGTTTGATTCTTTTACGAAACAACTGCAGTTACGTAACAAACAGTTATTTATGAATTTATCTAATGTTCCAAGGAACCTTGTCAAGTATTCAACACAGCTTGGTTTTATAACGAAACAACTTTAATTACGTAACAAACAGTTATTAATAAACCTTTTTGATGTTCTAATGAACCTTTTCAAGTATTCACTACCACTTGATTCTTTTACGAAACAACTTCAATTACGTAACAAACAATTATTTTTGTGGCGCGCTGAATGAGGGAAACATATCCGCCCGACAATTAAGTGCTCGGTGGCGTTGAGTTAGGCGACAGCGGGTCTAGACAACGCCGGGTCATAGCCAGGACGCTCGACCTTTGTTGAAAGGTCGACACCGTGCTAGGGTCACGGGGTCAGTTCTAAATGAACCCATTGTTGATTTGTTCTAGCGCATTGATAACAGCTCGAACCCGTGGCTTCGGGTTATTGGCTAATGAATTAAAACGGTAAACAAAATTTACTTTGTTTTTACCGTGTAGATAACAACTTCAGTTATAAGTGAAAATATAATATATCGAACATTGAACAGCCTCGTTTTATCGTACAATGGTAGCAACAGAAACCGACAAATAAGCATTCGTACTTTTAGCTTTTTCCGATTTTGATTTCTAGAATCTAACTTGTATATGAATTGAATATTGCCTACGTTTAGCAGATTCCAGTATACTTTTTTTTATGTCAGAAGCGAGCTGGCGGTTCACTTGATGTTCAGTGATAACCGTCGCCCATGGACATTTGCAACACCCGTAGGGTTGCAGATGCGTTGCAACCTTTTAAAGTGAGCTCCGGTTACCTCACTCACCAAACAAAACGCAGAAGCATCATCCACTTCACGCCGGTCTTCTGTGAGGTCGTGGTACTTCCCCGGACGGACCTGCCCATTCCTGCAAACATTGCGAAGACTGTTGCGTGGTCCTACCACTACCACAGTTACATCGTGAACGAAACAATAATTTTACGGGATCATTATTAATCAAGCTTTTCTAAGTACTGTTCGTTTTTATATCAAACCTGATTTTACTGTTTTGTATTCTTTAACAAGAATACAATTTAAATTTTATATTAAGTTTTTACAGTGCTAATCTCTGCATTTAAGGCGTGGCATTAAATTGGAAAAAACAATGTCGATAAAATACGCTGAGATTTCCGTCGGCGTGGAAATGAGCCGTTTAGCTTAATAGTTAAAGCGTCTGGAGACGTTTCAAAAAGAGCAAGTTCGATTTCCTCGACGGCGAAAAACTTTCATCCATTTTTCTACAAATTTCAAATATAAAATTACAATAATCTAGCAGTTGAGAAAGTCGACTAAAGTACTATGGTTAACTCGTGGGATCTCAAACAATTTTCGTTTTACAGAAACGATAAAATTTGTTCTTGTATACCTGTACCTGTGGTAAATTTGTCTATATTTCACACATTTATATATGTATAATATGTATTTATTTTCAAAAGAAAAGTATCTAAGTATGTTTATCAGTTATCTAGTACCCATAATACAAGAGTTGCTTAATTAGTGATTAGAGACGTTGTGTAAAAATGTGTCCGAAAATTATTATTTATTTATTTTATTTATCTACCAATTTCGCCTTCAATTCCTACCATCGCCTACTTTTGTGCTTGTATTTGTGATTTGTAAGAAATTTAAGCTAACAGTCTTGAGGTCAGTTGAGATGGCAATTTAAAATGTTTCTGTTCATTACGACAATATTGAGACGTATTTATAAAAATAGTTATGGCGTGAGAAATTTGCATAATAGTGAAAGTCAATTGCTCTCGTTCTGTTTATCAGCCGGTTGACATTTGATTTTTACGATCGCTCTGTAAATGTCAAGTACTCTGAAGTGGAACACGTCTTCGAATCTAAAGAAACCGGTCAAGTGCGAGTTGGAATCGCGCACGAAGGGTTCCGTATCATTATCTATTGAAACGGCAAAAAAAAATGTCTGTTGTATGGCAGCCCCTCTAAAATATTTTTTATTCTGTTTTTTAGTATTTGTTGTAATAGCAGCAACAGAAATACATCATCTGTGAAAAGTTTTTTCGGATCTGGATGTTTGTCCAAGTGAAATTTATGTATAAAAAACTTACAACACAATTAATCTCCTAGGTCGCAGTGGCCGTCGGGGCTTACTACCCAAGCCCTTCCATACAAAATACAAATACAC